GAGTGTAGTCACTAGTCTAATGAAAACACAAAAGTAGTGCAAGAAGACAGAATTCAGAGCAGGCCACTAATTCCCAGAGCCTGACACACAGTCACAGATTCTCAGAGGCACCAGCAATCTCTGGTATAGTAAGTGGCAGCACTCATTTGATCCCAAATTTCTTATGAATATCTGGTTTGACATCATATTCCACCATATTCCACATTTACAGGATTAGAGGATTGCTATTTCTCACATGATCATCTGCTCATGCTACTTACTCCCCATCTGCAGTCACTGACTGCATATGCTGTGAAAATTATTGTCATCATAGATCAAAGATTATGCCTCCAGAAGACAGATTGCAGGAGGAGGAGAAGAAAATCTCAAAAAATATGGGTTGCATCAATATCGCATGAAGTGCATTCCGTAATAAAGAATGAAAGGTTTGCTATGCATGAACAAGGTAAGACTTTCAGTAGAAGCCGAGAAGAAATACTTTTCTTACTTGAATCATTCTTGTTTCTTCCGTCAGCTTTTGCAAGTCAGTTATTATATTTGGGTCTCTTTTAAACGTGCCTTATTATAGCAGAAGGGCTTATATTAGTTTGGGTCAGGGCATACTGGCAATACTACCTGCCAGCCTCTCATTTGATGAATCAAAAGCATTTTTTTTATAGTTTTCTCTCTGAAAGGGTGGTTGTCAGTTTTTAAACTGTCAGGCTTGAGTAGAGTACATATTCAATAGAATATGTGCCTTATTACAGTAATTTCCAGCAATGATTCTAAAATGAAGGTCTTTTGGCAATAATTTTACTATTTTTCTGCTTTTCTATTGCCTTTTGGTTAGCCTGCTGACTCCCCAACTCCCACATTTCCGTAGTTATTACTTTCACTCACATATTCTAAATTTATTCTTTTTTTTTTCTTACAAAATAATAATAATAATAATAATAAAAGAGTAAGACCCAAATTGTCCAAATTGATTTTTTGCAGGTTTTTTTTTTTTCTTCATTAAAATGTTGATATTGCCCAGACAACCTTTTTTTTTTTTTTTTTCCCCTGTGAAAAATCATAGTTTTTTTCTTTTTAATTATAAATCCTAACTGCACTTTTTCACATTCCTGGGCATGAACATATCTGCTTCTGAAGTTCAGCTGCACTAATGAAATCAGGGCATGTGCAGGAAAGCCGCCAGATACAAACATCATTTATTTTTTCCTTCAAAAGCAAAGGGAATTCCAACCTGTGTGACACGCCTGGCTCACAAGCTTGTCAAAGGTGTGTCGTGCTACAATGGCTGCATTGTCTGCCTTGAAAAGGGTTATGCTGGTGCAGAAGGTGGCAAGAAATTATGAAAGATTCAATAAGAGCTGGTAGTGTGTGCTTGCAGTCCAGAAAGCCAACCATATCCTGGGCTGTATCAAGAGAAGTGTGACCAGCAGGTTGAGGGAGGTGTCTCTGCCCCTCCACTCTGCTCTCATGAGACTCCACCTGGAGTACTGCATCCAGTTCCACAGCCCTCAACACAAGAAGGACATGGAGCTGTTGGAACAGGTCTAGGGGAGTGTCTCTAAGATGATCAGGGGGCTCGAACTCATCTCATACGAAGACAGGCTGAGACAGTCGGGGCTCTTCTTTGGGACCTGGAGAAGTCTGCAAGACGTCGTAGCAGCCTTCCAGTACCTGAGGGGACCTATAGGAAAGCTGGAGAGGGCTACCCTTTTTATAAGGGTAGGTAGAAATAGGACAAGGGGAAATGGTTTTAAACTGGAAGAGGGTAGATTTAGACTAGATATCAAGAAGAAATTCTTTACTGTGAGGGTAGTGAGCAGCAACAGCAACGTGTTGTCCAGTGAGGTTGTGAACGCTCCCTTCCCGTAAGCATTCAAGGCCAGGCTAGATGGGGCTTTGAGCAACTTGATCTAGAGGGAGGTGCCCCTGCCTATAGCAGGAGGTTAGAACTAGATAATCTTAAAGGTCCCTTCTAACCCAAAGCATTCTATGATTCTAAATCTGAAATCTCAACTGTGGACACAGTGAACATTGAGTTGCCTGGATCCCCTCATTTCCACCTCTCAGAGGTGCATCTGTAGTGACATTAACATTTTGGTCTATCACTTGCACAGTCTGGAGGAGTCAATCTTTATCCCTATCTTTGAGTTAGAATCGTAGAATTGCTCAGGTTGGAAAAGACCTCGAAGATCACCAAGTCCAACCACAACCTAACCATACTACCCTAACTCTAACAACCCTCCACTAAATCATGTCCCTGAGCACCACATCCAAATGGTTTTTAAACACATCCAGGGATGGTGACTCAACCATCACCCGTGGGAGCCTATTCCACAGCTTAACAGCCCTTTCTGTAAAGAAGTCCTTCCTGATATCCAACCTTTAAGTCCCATAAAATGTAACACATCTGTAATTTTAAGAAAAAAATGATTATTAAATAAAATTGGAGTTTTAATTACAATAATGTCTGTCAAAGACAAGTGTTCAATTATATCTGAATTTCAAACTCAAGCCAGACCAGTCAGGACAGCACAAATGCCTACAGCTATACTACACACAAACACTTTTTACCAAGGTCAGTTTTGACTTTGAACAGTTTATCTGAAGGAAAAACAAACAAACAAACAAACAAACAACCCTGTTACATTTAAAACCCATGTAAGCATACAGAATACTTACTCAGCTCTGTGAAACAGTGACTTCAATCTGTATACTTAAAGAAATGCTTAAGAATTAGTAAGAGGAGTACAAAAGTACTGCTTACACATCTTCCCAGCTGTACTATTATTAAACATTTATTCAAACCAGAAGATCTTAAAAACACAGTTTAGATCAACTATGGCTATTTACTTTTTGAATTCCTGCTCTAACAATGAAAAAGGGAAGTCGCTTTCATTTCACATTTTAAAGTCAGTTCCACTGCTTATTTTTATCTGAAGCCACTGGAACAAGCAACTTATTTGTGTTAAAGCAACTTTTAAAAGGAACTTATTTTGTTACAGAATCTTTACCTGTTTTAGTTCTATTAAAAGTCCTCCTCAGCAAACTGCTAAATTTGAGATGAAATGGCATGTTCTTTTAGAAAACGTGCCAAAGATTAGTAACAAGTCTGTGACAAAAAATCACACTTTGATCCCAAAATGCCTTACAGAAGCACAGCTCACCTCTCCTCAGAAGAGGTTTTGGGGCACAAGGGAGGTTCCTTACATCCTCTGTCCCTGTGTGCCATTCAGGAAAGAGCTTTCACTGCTGTACCCAGCCGCATTGGTTGGACTTGCAGCATGGAAAAAAACAGACCAAAGCAGGTCAGTGATCACTCAGCACAGGGACTGAATAACAGACTAAGAGCTCATCTGTATCAAAAAGAGAAAAATATAAAAATCTCAGCAAGGCTACAACATAACAACACAGCATAAAGGACAGGAGACTCTTTGCTGTGCGCCCCAATGCATTGGTAGTGTCATCCGAAATCTGTGGGAAGGGGAAAGACACCTGGAAATGGGCTTTTCCCTCAGAGTTGGGGCAAGCTGTTTAGTTACAGAACAGGCGCACGAAGAGAGGCTTAGCCTCTTTTGTCCCTGCTGAATTTTGGCCTCTCAGTGGATGACTTCTACCAGGATGCATTCCCAAGGGCGGCTGTAGGGGAGGAATTGCAGGAATGCTGGCAGCAGCTCCCCAGCTGGACTGGCTCCAAACTGCACTCTGGGCCACTGCAGCTTCTGTGAGCTTTGGTCAGCCTCTGCTAAACCCTGCCCTGCTCCAACCTGCAAATCCCGCTGGGAAATAAAGTGGCAGGACCACCAACTGGGACAGCTGGACAGGTCAGAATGGAAGAACTCACAAGAGGAGTTCAGCCCCTTGTGCACATGCACAATGATACTGATCTTAATGGCATATCATGTTTTTTGTTTACTCAAGGCGGCAGCCTTTATGGTTGCATAAAAAATATGCTGCAACACTGAAAAATCAAGCTAATCATACACATATTACGACAGCAATGAAGAATAGTCACTTTTTCAACGGGCTGGTAGCAGAGGAGGAAAGAAAACCGTAAAAATACAGTATGTCAGTATATAGCAGGAGACATTCGGCATGATATTTTATGGCCTCTAGTTACAGTGTTGGAGGTTTCTACACCCACAGTTTAAGTGGTATCTAGACAACCATCTGACGCTGCAATCTTTCCAGCACCTTCCCCCTTCCTAGTGATGTTTGACAGCAACGTGAGCTTCAGGCTCGAAACAGGTCTCACATGCAGAATGTTTGGTCCTCCCGCACGTCCACAAGAGCGCAAACTCACCCATCAACCATCAGACAACACATTTTAGACATACGGAATCCTCCTGAACTCAGTCATATCCCTGTGCAAACAGCCACAGGGCTCAGCGCTGGCACCGACGAGCCAACAGCCACATATAACACTGGTCAGGGTATAACCCTACTGTAGGTTAAGGCATAACCCCTTCCCTCATTGCGACCTTTGGATCCTATCATTGTGAGAGCTGTAAAAACGAAAGAGCCCTGGAAGGGATGTGCTCACACCTCCGCTTCAGGTTGGCTCAAAGTCAGCGCTCTCCAAGTCAAAGCTCTCACCACAAACATCCCCTCTGCGCGTCTCTGCGGGGCACAGCTCACACACACACACACACACACACACACACACACACACAGGAGGAAGAAGGCTGGAGGGAAGCCCCAAACCAACTGGCCACCCATCCACCTTCCACCGAAGAACAGCACACTCAGTTCAGGTCCTTGGGAAGAGAAGCCCACCCAGGGCTTGGCTGAACGCGCGCATACTCACACGCAGCTCCAGAGCTCTCTGCGGACCCCCGCAGCTCTACGCGAACAGCCCTCTGCCCTCCCGCAGTCTCGCAGCTGCTTTTGCCCTTCCCGGGGAAAACCTGCGCACGCTCCCGAGGACAGGAGCCAGGCGGGGCCGCTGCTCGCCGCCTCTCTCCCCGTGCCTCCGGCGAAACCCGGACGGCCGCGCCGGCCTCACGTACCTGGCGGCGGCGGTGGGGCCGGCGGGCACCACAGGTGCTTCCCCAGGCCGGGACGAGGCGAGTGGGCGGCGGCGGCGGCAGCAGCACCGCCCCGGGGCCGGCCTCACCTGCTGGCGGCCGGAGGAGGAGCGAGGCCGGTTCGGGGCACGGAGCTTCCAGCCCCCTGGAGGAGACGAAGGTCGAGGCGGCCGCCTTCACCTCAGGCACGCGGCGGGGAGAGAAGGGGAGAGGGGAGAGTCTGTCCCGGGGCGGCTTAAAGCCAGCGTGGCCGCGGGGTAGAGGCGCGGCAAAGTCCCAGATCCTTTCACTTTCCCTTCCTGCCGCAGGACCTGGCAGGAGGCGTGAGGCTGAGGGTGCTGCCTCCCCGCAGGGTCGCTCACCGTCCCAGCTCTACACTCATGGAGCCTGGGTTTAACTGAATTGGTCCAGAGGGGAGTAAAACCGGATGCAAAAATGAGATACGGAAATTAATCTCATTTTAATGCCTCTGTTGATGAGGGGGAAAGAAAAATCAGATAGCAAGTTTTTGAGAGTTGCCGTCTGAGTACTGTAGTGAACATCCAAAGAATGGCAGCAAGGCTTGTGAAGGGTTTGGAGAATGTCACTTGCAAGGAGCAACTAAAGGAACTGAGGCTGTTTAGTCCGGGGAAAAGGAGGATTAGGGGAGAGGAGACCTTATAGCTCTCTTCAAATTGTGATCTTCAAAGGTGCTTACAGCGAGAGCAGGGTTGGTCTCTTCTCACTGGTGACAGGTGACAGGATGAGGGGAAATGGCCTCAGATTGCATCAGGATAAGTTTAGGTTGGATATCAGGGAAGTTTTTACAGAAAGGGTTGTTAAGCACAGGAATAGGCTCTCCAGGGAGGTGGTTGAGTCATCATCCCTGGATGTGTTTAAAAACAGTTTGGATGTGGTGCTCAGGGACATGGTGAGTTGTTAGAGTGGTAGAGTACAGAATTAGATTGCGGTTGGACTTGATGATTTTTGAGGTCCTTTCCAACCTAAGCTGTTCTATGATTCTATGATTCTGTTGGCAAAATCAGCCTCTGTAGTTCACTCAGTGATGTGCAGCAGAAAAGCCAAGTACAGCCCTTGTGCAAGACCTGTGTGGTGGCTTTGCTCCATCTATCAGGGGAGCGAACAAGTGACAGCTGCCCAGTGTAATGTCACAGCCTATACAAGTACATATACTCTACAGATGACTGACACATAACTTTTCACATGGCTTTTTCGCTAGTGTGTGACACCAGTAGCTCCTCCAGGCTACCCAAACATCCCTATACCATTAGGAGTGGTCCAAAGTACCATTAGCATCCTAATAAAGATAAAATACTCCAAATTAGTGTTCTGTCCCAGTTTTGCCTGACCTGTTGTTTTCAAAGTGCTTCCTTGTACTCGTGATGAGAAGTGATCATTGCCAGGAAGAGGGCGGGTATTTGGGAAGTCAGCTGAGATAAATCAAAGGAAAAAAAAAAAAAGAAAAAAAAAAGACACAAAAAAGAGGCACCAAGACACCAATTCACTGAGTCACAAATTGCCGGATGCTTCCGTGATTGCAGGAAAATGCTGCCAGACTTCCCTTCCTTGCTGCCACTGGAGAGGAGAGGCTGGGTACAGCCAGAACAGCTGCCCCAACGGCTCCAGCTGCACTGTGTGTCCTGTATGCCACATTTCCAAACAAAAAGCAGCTCGCTGTGAACTCATATCTGCCTCTGAGTTTCTTTTCTCACTTCTGTCTGCCTGGAGAAGCTTCCTAATCACCCCACGTGATTAGAATTAATATGAACTATGTGCTAAATGCACAACTTTGTATTTCTGCCATTAAATTTCATGTCATTTCTTTCTGCTGTCCGCAGATTCCTAGAATTCTTTCCACAGGGTATGCCAGTCTTCTCTGTTGTAACAGCAGGTCTTGGCTTCATGTCATCAGCAAATTTCATTAGCTTTCATCGGTTTTTGTGCCAAGGTCACTAATAAAATTTTAACTAAAGATTAGTTCTGAGATCAGTCCCTATGGAACTGCATTAGTAACATCCTTCCATCTAGAGCTTCCTTTTCAGCTCACGCTATTGTCCTTACTTTTCATTTCTTACATTCATCCACATCTCTTCATCTTAATTAATATTTTCTTGCATGGCATCCTCTCAAATGTTTTATTGAAGTCCAGATAGATTTGATCTATGCTATTTTCATTGTTTGAAAAACTGATTTATCAGAGAAAGAGATGGGCTTAGTCTGGTATATTCTTTCCCTGGTGAAGTCCTGTTGCATTTTAACAAGTTTTGCATTTACCTCCACATCTTTAATTAGTTTTTCATTCAACATTTGTTCTAAAGCTTTGTGTACTAATAAGGTCAGATAAAAGAGCTGTAGTTGTTTGGATCACTTTTTTTTTCTCATCAGATCCCCCAAAAAGTCTCCATACTTTTCCAAGTCTTTCCTGAGCTGTGGTGTCCTCTAGGTGTGACCTGAAAGTAAAGCACAACATGCGTGTGATTGATTTTGGACTTACTCCTCAGGCTGAAAATCCAAATGCTACATATATTTTTTTGCCTCAAAGACTGCTTCAGAGGTCTCTTTTGCAAAATCTTGCAATCAAACTGCATGGTTCCCAGATTTATTTACCATCATGCCTTTGGGGCTTTATGCATGCAACCTGAATGCCCTACGAGTTGCTTTGTGTGTCTTTCAAATGCATTACTTTTTATTTGTATTTTTATCATTTTAATGTTTTGTCTGCAACCACAAAAGAGCACAAAACAGTGCTTCTAGTTTCTTCTTTATGGACACTTCCAATTAATAGGTGTAGAATAAAACTTACTATTTTAAAGCAAATCATTTTGCTTATGTCCTGTTGTAGCCAACTGGTGTCTCAAAATGAGGTGTGGAAGTGAAGTTCATGGGTAAGAGAATAGTAGGTTTGTCCTACAGAATCCAGAGTTATTTCTCTTGCATTACTTTGGTCTAAGAGATCTCTTTCCATGGATTTTGCCCCGTCCTTAGTTACTTCCCAACTGACTCCAGGCTGCTTTCTTACAGATAGTAACAACCATGGTAAGGTCCTTGCTGAGAGTTTTAATTCCTCAGAACTGTAGTGCAAACAGGATGGGAGGAAGGCAAATGCAGACATTCAGCTGGACTACCATACTTCCATATCCTTCCCTGAGCATGCAAGTTTCTCTGACTTTACCTTATCTCCTCTATGTCCTTGTGTGTTTGAGTAAATAGGACGTTGAGAGAACTTCAGATGGGCACCGACCCATGACTCTGAGCTCAGTTTGTAGAGAAAGATTATCTAGAAATTTTGAAGAGGGGAACATCCAGTCCTTGAGATCTCCTGAGCAGCAGAGTTCAAGTCAGAGCAGTGATGGCTGCAAGGACTGTAGGATCACTGAAAGACTTTAGCTCAGTTGTTCATCATCTCCCTCTGGGTGAATGTCATCATAAGGCGTATATCACTTGTGTTGCTTTAACTGCACTGGTAGGTGATCAATATTCCATAGCCAGGATCTAAAGCAAAGTATAGAATTAGTTTCATCAGACTAAGCAAGTTTGAGTGATGATGCATTGTAGTAATATCAGACTATAGGATTTTACTCGGTAAAGGATATCCTCGGTTTTCTTTCAAAATCAACAGGTTTGCATTGTGGGTCTCTAAGATAAATCTCAGCCCTGAGGGCAACTGACTTTATGCAAACTGAAGGAAAGATCAGCAAAGCCAGCAAAGTTATGCTTTTGAGTAATGCTCTGACATCTTGCCAGGCTAAGCTTACTAAGTCATATAGTCTTTTTTCTCCAAAATAAGGGATTATGATATGGGTGAGTGTACCCAATCTGACTCTGAAATGTGTATATATACCCCAGCATGTTATTTCGTGTGAATAAGAACAAAATGTATGTTATTTGTCATCTGTACATCTGTAATTTATATACAAGTTCACTTAAGGAATATAATTCACTACTGTTAAAATTTCCTTTAGAGAATGTTGCAAATGAGAGCCTTCCAGTAACAAAAAAAAAAGAAAAAGACTTAGTACAGGGCACAGCGTCCCTTATTGTTAGCTGTTTGTGATGCGTATTGTATCAGTTACCACAATGAATGTAACACGAACACACAAATCCGGTGTTCAGCAGTATTCTTTGTATTTATCTCCACTTTCTACAATGGCAGTGCAGCGCTACTGTAAGAGTAATAAAGAAAAAAAAAAAGTAATTTAAAAAGTGAGAAGAAATTCCTATTATATCACTTAAAAATAATATATACATCATTAAAAAAAAAAAAAAAAAAGGATTGCTTTTTTTTCGGGTCTTGTTTCTTCAGTATTCCCCCCTTCCTGCAGCTTGTCAGAGCCTTTCATTGCTGCAGAACAGAACAGAACAGAATGCAAAAAGAAAGCTGCGATTTGAAAGCAAGATTTAAGTGCTGTCTGAATTTTGGTTTTCCTCTCCGTTTGCTTTCACACGTTTGTGAACTCACAGTTGGATTTCCTCTAACAGGAAATTCCATGATAATTAGCATTAGTGAGCTATGGTGATTGCAGTTCGGTAATTTCACAGGCTCTTTTCAGAATCATTCCCTTTTATAGGAGATGAATGCTAACATGGGCCAAATTCTCAGTTGCTGGGTTAGTGTTACTGAATTAAGCAGTAAAACTATTTATTCTGGCAAATCATGCATGGAATGTTGTGATGCATAGAGTAATTGCAAAAGTAGTACTAGATGACCCACAAATACTGCTGAACCACTGCTGTACAAATACATTTGTTGTTTTAGTAAATAATGTAAACAAAAGGTGAAGTGAGCAGGGCTGGAAATTCCTGGAGGGAAGAGATAAATAGCAGTCGAAGAAGAAAGATTGCAGATATTGATTTTTATGAGAAATATGATCTGCAACCATAAGACTTCTGTAAGAACATTGGTCCACCCAGCCAAGGCACTGACTGTCAGTGTAAACCTGATGCGTCAAAAAGTTGGCTACTTTTTGGTGGGGAAATATGACAAAATCTATCTCCTGTGAAGATTTTAATGGAATCAATGAAAGAGCTGGTTTTCAACCAGCGTGTGAGATTTAAATACCTTTCCAATTTTTTTTTTTAAATGGCTGATGAATAATCTTGAAGCCATCTTTGTTGTATCAATTTTCTTCAGTACTTGTCCAGAAACCTATTCATGAGTTTCTTCTACTTCATATTTAACACCTTTCTAAATTATACATAAGGTGATGACTTTACTTTCTGACATGCATTCATTAATCAGAATTTGTT